AAAATTAAGGTAACATTCAATGTTTATTACGTAGCATCATTCTCGCCCAACATTTCACCAGCAGCAAATGTGACTTCACATAATCCCGCTCAAAATTCTTCGCACGCGAATTCCGCGTTACAAGTATCATTTGTACACACCTTATGGTGATGAATATTTACATACGTACGTACATAAATGCGCGCTATAATATAAAAGCATAAATTGCTTTCAATCATCGTACTTGCCTCAAAAAGTGTTGATCCGTCTTGGAATCCCCTTTAGGAAAGGGTGAAACGTTTCATTTTCTTTTTTTTGTAAACTGTTAAAAAACTCCCGCTCTTTTTTGCGCCCCTTATTAGTTGGATTCTTTCCACTCGCTTACTTTATCTCGAGATTATTTTTTCTCGTCATTTATATTATCATTTTTCTTCTAATTTTACAGAATACTTATCTACCCAACTACCTATCCAACTTGTCATTTCCGACCATCAACTTGTCAAATCTTTTGTTTTTTCGGGAAATAAGAATTGATATCGAGTGTTGCGTCTCGAAAATAATTGCGAATATTTATACGAAAAAGTGATTTCTTCCAGTGTTTTTTTTTTTCGTTTGTGAGAAATTACGACAATCGGAAGAATGCCATCATCAAACAGGAGGTCCTTGTCTAAAGGTATTTCTTCTCGGTCGGAGAACTCGTCTGTCGTCGACGACCATAAAGAGAAGAATTCTGCAATGGCGGCACAGCGTTCCTCCGAGGGAACCAATGATAGCAACGCTGTTGACAATTCTACCATTAATTTGGAAAAGTTTCAAAATCAGCCGCATCCAAATTCACGCTCACAGGAGTTTGACAACTCACCAACTTCCGTAAACAATGGTGACAACATTAAACCCGTTTCAAATAACAATAATCAGATATTGACCACCGATAAGGTTGGGCTGGCTTCCCAGACGATAAATGGCGCTGACGCAGAAAAAGTGGCACCGGTTGAAGAAAGAGTTTCGAATGCGAAGCACACCTTGAACCGGACCAAAAGCAATAATAAATCCAATCCCAATAATAATTCTCATAGTGTCAAACAAAGTGGTAACAAGGATTCGAAAGAAAAACAGAAGCAAGGAAACGGTGCCACCTCCGATTCACGTGTGAAAATCGAACTGGACAGGAAAAAATCCTTGCCATCTCAGAAACAGAAGAAATTACTCACCTCCAAACCGAAAGGTGGCGGTGCGATGACGGTCGCAACAACCGATGAAGGCTCCCTTTCTGATACTTTCGATGGTTCGTTAAATCGAAGGCATTCGGCTCCACCTAAATTGAACCGCCAAGGAAGTTCTATCGGAAAGGATCGTGATCAATCGAAACCAAGCCCTCTGAGGACTTCCGTTACACCCTCTCCTGACCCATGTAACCTTCCACTCTTGTCACCCAAGATATTGGAATTACGTCGTTCTGAATCATTTCAACAAAAGCCCGCAACCGTCGCGGATGAGGATACGTCCACCATCAGCGCAGATACTGCCAATGTGGGTACAAAGAAAACTAAAAATCCAACTCCCGCCACCAAACAACGCCGTAGGGATGGCGTCCGAAGTCAAGCCAGAAAGAATACTGCCGCATTGGCCGCCTTACCAAAAGGAGAGAATATCCAAGAGTTGCTTGCGAGATTGGAAGAGCAAAATTCTTCGTTGCCTCCGCAGGTAAAAAAAATTTTTTTTTTTAATGATTTCAAGTAGATACCACCTTGCTATCGTTTCCACTGTTAAAAGGCAACGCAACCAGTCGTCATTATTGTTCCTCAAAATCTAACGATTCGCTTTTGGTTTTGTTCAGGATTCCACCGAATTTCTTTTGGCTCGTCTCGAACGTCAGAATGAGATGTTGGACAATGATCCGAAATCCGTATGTATCCAATCCAACGTTCTCAAGGCAAACCTCGAAACCGTTCAGTCCTTGATCGACGACATCACGTTGCCCGCCGATCGATCCACCTCGCCATCCGATGAACTAATCATTCCTGTACTTGATGAAGAGGATGATGATCTGTCGAAATCGGCAGACCTTTCAAACGTCATCGAATGGGATTTCTGGACGGCGTTGATTCAAGATTATACTTCGGTTGCCACCAAACTACCGCACCTGCTCGCCGCCAAGTTGCAACAAGGTTTACCGCCAAAGCTGAGAGGTCTGGTGTGGCAATCGATGTGCCAAGCATCCTCCACTTACTTGGAAACAATGTATTCCCAATTATTATTGGAATCCTCGCCGTACGATAAAATTATTGAGCGTGACCTCGCAAGGACATTCCCAACGATTGAGATGTTCAAGGAAGAAAATGGAAAGGGACAAACAATGCTGTGGAATATACTGAAAGCGTATAGTTTGTATGATCCTTTGGTCGGGTACTGTCAAGGGTTGGGATTCTTGGTGGGACCGTTGTTGATGAACGTAAGTTTTTTTTGTGAGACCTGTGCTTCAGTTTTTTGCAACAGTGCCCGGAAAATCATGAATGTATGCTAAGTCAACTTCACGTTTACTCCAATGCAGATGGGAGAAACTCAAGCTTTTTGCGTGTTTGTCAGGTGGGTTTTATCAATTGCTTTGCGCTCACCATGTGTTCCCTTTTTCAACACGGTTCTAACATGGTTCGAACATGTCACAGATTGATGGAGACTTACGACATGCGAACAATGTTCACCCTAAAGATGGAAGGGCTTCAACAAAGATTATACCAATTTACCTCGTTGCTCTCTCACATTTGTCCAAACTTATACGCCCACTTCCAAAAGCACGGCGTCCAATCTGCCATGTACGCCTCCCAATGGTTCCTTTCTTTATTCGCTTACACCTATCCCCTTCCCCTGGTCTTCCGAATTTATGATGTCGTGTTTGCAGAGGGTGCACCAGAAACAATTATGCGAGTGGCCATCGCCTTGTTAAAGAATAATGAAGAAAAATTGTTGAGCTTTGACGAATTCGAAGATCTACTGGAATTCCTTACCTCTCGACTTTACGAGTCATACAACAATGAACCTACGGGATTGGTGAAGGACGCCATGGCGTTGAGCTCAGTGATCACCAAAGCGAAACTTGATCAGCTCTCCGAAGAATATGTCAAAGATCTCGAAGATCAGAAGAAGCGTGCCGAGGAGATGGTGGCCGTTCGATTCAACGGACGCTTTGGTCGCAGTAAAAAGGATGACTCCAAACGGCGCGAGAAGCGTGATAACAAACGCTGGTCATTGAACGTCATGCGCAATTCTCGTCACTCGGTGGCCATCATGCAAGACATGCAAAGTGTGATCTCGAACTCGTCGAGCGAGAATGTCAACGCCTCGAGCAGTGACCAGTCCTCTAATTCTTCAGACGAAGCTTCCAATCCATCCGAAAAGGTCAATAAATCTTCCAAACTCGTCGCGTCAACGTCGCCACCGTTATCCTCTTCTTCGAACAGCGCCGGCATGGGCGTGCTACACAAGCAAATCGAAGATCTGGTGACAGCACTTTCGCAGTTACAGAAAGAGCACGCAGACGTCACCGAACAGTTGGTCAACATTAAAATGGAGAAGGTGGATTTGGTCACCGAAGTGGAAGAACTAAAATCCAAACTTCGAGGATTGGAGAAAGAAAACAAACGAATGTCTATGTCCTCGACCCTATCGCTTGATTCGGCCACGACATTAAACGACGAGAGTAATGCACCATTGTCAAAGTTAGCTTCGCTGATGGCACCCGGTTTATTGAAAATCGAAGAACAACTCGCAGACTCAATCAACCTGCCACGCATGACACGACGGTCGTCGGTGCCCACGTATGTCTCCACGCCCACCGATAAAATGCTATCGAGTCTTGACGCATCGCTAAAGTCCGAACTCTCGGGCCTTACTGCGAATGATTGGGCGGTGGAATTGAAGAAATCATTACAACGAGAAATGTTGATGGCCGAAGAATTGGTCGCCGTCAGAAGAGAGAAGGACGAATTGTTGCAGGATAATGCCGAGATGACTAAACGCGTGGAGGAATTGGAAACCGCCGTGGCCAATAGCGCGAAATCGCAAAAAGCATTGTATGACAAAAACACATTTTTGCAAACGGAGATCGAACGATTGGATGCGGAGGCGACGCAAGCGTTGTACGAACAGAGCACCATGGAGAATGATGTGAAGGAGGTGAAGACATTGAGATTTGATAACGTGAAATTGAACAAGGAGAACGAAAGGTTGAAGAAGGACATCGCAGGATTAGAAGCGAAGCTATCATGGTCTGATAACAATGCGGATTCAAATAACACCACACCTTCGGCTTCATCACGACGCGTTTCATTCTTGAACTTCTTTAACAACAACGGTAATAATGACCAGGATGCTACGAGGTCGGTGGCAGCAGTGTGTTCAAATGACTGCCCCGCGGCAAAGCGAGCTGAAAACATGGAACAAATGGCGAAACATGTTCAATCCCTGCTGGTCGAGAGCGAGAACGCGAGGGATGCGATGAGTGCCCAGCTGGAGGAGTTGAATTCGTTAATAAATGGATTCGCCAATATTTCAGATATCGCACCCTTTGATCCTGAGGGAGTCACCATCACACCGGAGAATTCAGGACCATATCCAAAGCCAAGGCCGGAAAAGCGACTTTCGTCGTTGTCATTGGCTTCCTTCTTCGGTTCATAACAAGGGTGAAAAGTTCACGCCTACCTTTCCTAAATAATGATGGATGTCAATTATTACATTTCTTGGATAGATCTATTCTACTTGTGTAATTAAAATTCTTTGTAAGTAATAGATACCTTTCGTTTGAAACAATTTAATTGATTATTTTAACCAAACGTAAGGGAGAGACGGACTATTTTGCATCTAAGAAAAAGGGACTTTTTATTCTAGGAACGATTGCTTCTCTTCTTTTTAATTTTTCCTCGTTCGATTTTTTATGCAGGCGATAAAAAATTGGAAACTTTTTTTCTCTTCACTACTTCACCACCTTATTTATTCGTCACCACCCAGTTCTCCTTTCCTTGGTTTGCACACTTTGGGTCATATTTTCAAGACTCGTGTGGGAAAATATTCTTTACACTGTATAGTATTTACTTATTGTCTAGGATTGTATTTCTATTGGATTGTAAGATTGTTCGGTTGTTTATTTATTTATTATTTTTTTTTTGTGTGTGTTTGATTTTCCTCCTTCTTTCTATCCTTTTTTTTTCTTTTATTTTCTTCCTTTCTTTCTTTATGGAGGGACTACGTTCTCAGATGTAAGATCTGAATGGCAAACGATCTCAGGGACCGATTGTCCTGACGATAAAAACAAAACTGGCATTGCTTCCTGACAAATGGCGAAATCCTAAAATTCGTCACGGATTTGCTTACTTATTTTTTATTTTTTACTTTTTTATTTTTTTTTTCTATGGTTTACGATTTCACATTAGGACAATTTTACATAGGATAAATTACGTAGGACAAGTAAATAGGACAAGTTTTTTTTTTTACGAAATTATAGATAAGATTTCTTTTTGTATTGTTTTCTCATTTTTTTTTTTTTTTTTTGTACTTATAATAAATTATTTTTTCCCTTTCGTATTTTTTGGCGTTTAAAAAAAAAAAAAATTAGAGACGTGTTGAACACTTGTTTTTCCGACTCATGCCAGACGTAAAAAATGATGTAAAGAATAACATGACATGACAAAGCTACAGCCGAAACATGATGTGTGCTTCGTCTTTATTTTTGTAGTGTATAATAATACAGATGTCTACCGATATTTACAAATAAAAATAACTGAGCAAACTAGAAAACCGATTTACACCACGAGCTTAGGGGGAGCGCGTTCTTTCTTTATAAATCTATCGTAGATTAGTGCCTTTAAGATATGCAATGTTGTGATGACAGCTAATATAATGGCAACAAAACGAATAAATGTATCATCTTGCTCGACGGCGACACCATACAGGGCCCAATCGATGACGATTGCTCCAGCAATGTCGCCCTTGAACTTTTCAATGTAACCAACCGCGGTAACTTCCAGGAATATTAGGCCTACCGCAACAAGGATTTGAACAAAGATGCCCGGTGATTCTCCTTCTTCCTTACTCGTAAAGGCGGCGAAAAGACCAATCACGGATAAGACGACAGTCCACGCGTGAAGCAGGGAAAATGGGAAATGGATAAAGATCATTTCGGCGGTCGAATCGGACGGATACCGATTTTTAAGAATGAAATAGACGTGCGAAGCTTGAACGGTGGCGATGAGAAGGATGATCCACGCGATGATAAGGTAATCAGAGTCATACAAAGATTGACTCAAGGAAATCAGCAATGCGATAAACAGAAAGTGCCAATGTATCCCATTCACGACAACAGTGTCCGCTTTCGGGAAGAATTGGTAGATGACTGCAGGTCATATCACAATTAATATGCGTGGATCAACGTTTAAGTGACAAACCCTCAAAAAGTGATAATTCTTACTGAATCCTAACAGCAGGAGATGGATAAGACCCCAGACACCAAATACGTATGGTGCCGGGGTAATATAAGTTGGATGACTGTCCTCGAGCGATAAAGTTGTCTGTGAGATCAAAGCATTAGTAATGATTACGTTTGAAATTTAACATGTTCTTTCATCTTCCTCGTCACAAGAGATACATACATTCCCCTCATCATCGAAAAGAAAATAGAAAGCATTTGACCCTAGAAAAAGGAAATATGCCAACACATTGACAATCTTTATGAGAAGAGGAAAAAATGCCATTTAGTCGAAATTATATTTTGTCAAAATTAGTGAAAAGGCAAGATTTTTTCGTTAGTTCTCGTGAAAGGGGAGCTTGTGGCGGGACCGTATCCCTTTATATTGTGTTGATGATACATTCGTGAGATTTCTCGCTACTACAATGCTTAGATGTTCGCTTAACTTTGTTTTCTGTAAACATGAGCAAGCCGCAAACTTTAGCCGCGCAAAAAAAAAAAAAAAAAAGGCATAGGCCATTCGTGTATTCGAGAATTTTAATTTTCACCGAGCCTTCTCTGCAACTAGATGGAACATCCCACCCAATTCGATTTCGTGTCGTCCCGTATTTATTCTTTTTAGACGGACGTACAAGACGAATGGACATCCGAATCCTTGTCACAATAAAAAGAGTGTATTAACATATGTGCTGCAATCCATTTTCTTGTCTTCCGCGATTTGTTTTCGTCACGAAGCCACAAATAAAGTGTCAACAAAAAAAAAACAAAAAACAAAACAAGCTTCGATGTCTCAGGGAATGTTATTTAACCTCGGCGAAGGATTTACACCTACGCTCAAGAAATGTGACAATTTGCATGAGGTCACTTGAATTTGTCTTTCGCCGCATTACACATTGCATAAAGCTCGAGATATCGGGTTGAGAATGTCTGGTTATGTTGGAAGGGAAGGATCACTGCTCGAGTCCATCTTGATAGAAACCATAAAAATTGTATTCGACGATGCTATACTAATCTTTGAAGAAACAAATTTATAATAAATTTAAAAGGCCAGAATTCCTTTAAAAAACCAAGAGATGTATATCATTTCGAGAAAACTTTGAATCTTAAAGGAAACCAATTCGTTCTAGTTAAAATGAAATAAACCAGAATGAACGGAGTTGGTCACGTTCTATTTTTTCACAATCATGACTATACACGAGAAAAGAACATGACCACTGTGATATTAAACAAATAAACACAAATCAATGAAACTCCGATTAAACCGGTCACGGCGGCCAAATTAATATCTCCTGAGCAAGGTTTCGAGCTGTTTTTCGTCACTCAAATCTTTGCAAAATTTGATCTCGGCCTTAGTAAATTGAAAAGGAAAGGAAAGGAACCGTGTGAACAGACAACCGAAAATAGCAAAATCAAAAATATATCGCATAAAACAAAACCTCTTTTACGCCAACATAACATCGAACGATAGGTTCCCCTAAAGCTTCAATAAGTGCTTTGTCGTTTTTTAACGCGTCCAAAGTTTCACGAAGACTTCTCGGCATACGTTCGACGATACCCAGATCCTTACGTTCCTTTTCAGTCAACGAGGCAGGATCGTCTTTAAGAAAACAAGAATGACATGAGCTGTGACCAGATCGAAAAAAATTACCAATTATTAATTAACGGCTCCCAATACCTAAGCAGGGAGGAGTATTGAGTTCCATTTTCTTTTTCATTCCGTCCAGACCTGCGGCAATAATGGCAGACATAACCAGGTACGGATTGGAAGTGGCGTCAACGAACTTGTGCTCGAAATTAACTTCAAAGGTGGTTTCTCCATTAGAACTTTTCTTGGGCCGGTAACAAACTCTTATGGGTGTTTCCCTAGATGAACAATGGTGCAGAAATTGAGTCTTCGTTGAAGGAATGAGGTTTGCAGAAATCTGAAAAATTCATAAACACATACCGATTCTCAACGCCCCAACAAATCCACGAACCAGCCCAACAATGATCAACGGTCCGTGTGTAAGAATGAACTGTGGGTAAAGCAAAAGCACATATTGCTTTGATGTGATGAAGCACGCCAGCAATGAATGATCTCTCGTATGGGGATAATCCTGTAAGGTGCCCATCATTTTCTTTCTCGGACTTATCAATATCGTGGAAAGAGATGTGCAGGTGCGCTCCGGTTCCGGCTACGTCATACATGTAGAAATATTAATTTCCCTTGCATGTTATAAAGGAAAGTTACAGTTTCTGTAGTACGAACCTTGGTTATCAAAGGGTTTCGAAACAAATGTTGCTTTCAAACCAAACTGTGAGGCGACATCGTAAATCGTATTACGAGTTAGAACACAATTGTCTGCAGTGGTCAGAGGGGTTGACGGTCCAGTGACCACTTCAAATTGACCATACGCAGATTCAGAATGGCATTGCTCGACAACGATGTTCAGTTGCGACAATGAATCGACAATCTTGTCTATTACAGCTGCCGAGCTGGTTCCCCGGAAAGACGCAGCAACAAGGTACAGCGTTTCGTCAACTGGAACTGGCTTTTCGGAACCTTGATTTGTCTTGAGCAAGACAAATTCAGATTCACAGCCAGCTAAAAAGCCGATTCTAAAATCCTGCCGTGCCGCGTTGACAATTCTACGAAGACAGTTTCGAGGGCACAGTGCGAAATACTTGGAATCTTCTGTGAGGTATGGTTTTCCATATTCAGGATCCACAGGAGTCCACTTATTTTCAAAGAAACATAGGACAATAGAATGCTCAGGATAATAGGGCAATTGTAACAGCGTATTGAGGTCAGGTTTGATTATGCACTCTCCAGATGCACTAACACCGGTGTCTTTTGGAACGACATCCGCAAAGTATGGTAAGGCGGTAAGAGCTCGAAGGGACGTCAACCCGTTGGGAGCGACGTAATCTCGAAATCGGTTTATCGGAACGATATGGAATCGAAGCTGACTCGAATTGTCCAGATAACCAACGCGCACTAACTTGACACCCTTATTCTTCAATATTGAAATTTTCTTTTCTCCAGACAGCCCGTGTGAAAAATAATCTTAAGACAAAATGAACATTACATATTAATCGCTTGACGAAAAGCAAAAAATCAAAATTAAAATTCTCCACATGCCAGGATCCACGTCTTTCTTTGGCGTTAAATTTAGTTTATATAATATGTTCGAATTTTCGAACATTACTTGCTTGACGACATCCATAGCCTCATCAACTGTGAAATCTCCGTTATCCACGTATTCCAACAAAGCCTATGTTCATCCGAAGAAAGAATTACTCCAACAAATTTTAAAATAGATCGACTCTTCGACAATGTATAAATCATGAATTTCATTAAATTTACCTTGCCGAAAACATCCCTAAATTGAACCACTGAGACATAAAAGGATTCCGGGTGACTATGTCCATCTATACAAAACGCGAAATCGATAAGCATCGCGGTCAAATGGAATACACATAAATTCTTATAATGCACAACCAGTTTACCTGTGCTAAATAATATTTTGTTGGTCGGCGCAAGTTCAAACTTTTTTTTTTTTATGTGTGTGTATGAAAGAAGAGTGATGTAAGCAAATCTCAATAAGCTCCTACTTCACCTGTCAAGAAAGAATAATTACCAGTTCCCGTAAGGTTGCTTGCTGACCAGATGACGAGATTAAGGAATTGACGAGTCCGACATCGACGTAAACGTTCGCGTAAACGGACGCAAGATATGCAGCCTGACGAGTGTATGGGTACGATGCGTGCAAAAGAACGATTTTGACATCCTTGTACTTTTCAATCAAGGGACGAAGGTGAAGAGGATTTGAATATAAAAGATCGAGATCGTTATCTCCTAATCCTGATTGAATAATTAAATGGGAATTTTGAACTTCAGAATGCATGCATATGCATATAGGTAAACTACAACGATAAATATATAGTTACTCTTACCCGTGTGAAATTGAATTGGTATGCCACTTTCAAGAGCGACATCAACGGCCACATTTACTACATGATCAATAAGCACTTTTTCGGCGAGCCTAATATTCACTTGTTCATTGGTGGATGACGTGGAACTTCTGATGAAATTGCCCAATGAGATAGCGACTTCTTCGTTAGTAAGGTTGCAATTAATGTTCAACCCCGATCGATACGCGGCAATACTCTTGAATGCCACAACCTCCTTGGAATTAGCAAGGGATTTAAGTTGATTTCTTAATGGCCCCTCGAATGCTGCAAAGCTTATCACACTCTCATTGGACTTATTTATTGATTCAACCAAACCACGGAGTATTGACTCGGCAACACTCTCGATCCTTAAAATTCTTCGGACGTCTTCGACCAATCCCAAGTGACTCTTAATATCCCTGAGTGCGCCCAAATCATAAATCCCGTCATCCAAAAGCAGGCTTTGAATGCCTGTCGTTTCAAAGCTGATTTTACACAAATCGTCATACGGCATGGTATCTCTCACTCGCTTAATTTCCTCCCAGGACGGGGCGCACCTATAAAGCTTGGCAAGAATTCGCACTCCTTGCTTCAGGGAACTTGTTTGAATCGCATCCTTCAATGCTTCTCCGCGTGCCTCTGAGAAACAAACCTCCAGCGGACAAGATAAAATTGTGTCAGCGGTCAAGAGATTGTGCGCGTGATTGTCAATCAGAGGGAACGATGCTATTGTTCTGAGTAAAGTGTCACGGTTGTCCATAATTGCTCTGTTATTTCGATAGGTAAAAACAAATTGTATAACTGGTTATGATAAAATTATGTTGGAATTGCCGTGCCATTCCAACGAAAAAAACACCTTTTATAACAAATTTCACTTAGTATGACTGTGCCTATATTATTAATATCAAAAAAGAGGATTTAAAGGAAGAGAATGTTGGATCGATTTCATTTATGAATTCGGTTTGCAATTGTTAATCGTATCGAGTTTTAAACCGGTTTTATTCCTTAGAGTTTGACTTTTCACATGGAAATTTTTCACAGGGCGTAATATTACTGTGCTATAAATGTGAGAAGTTTTAATTGCTATGGATGTGAAAAGAAAGGAAAGTCTAAATTTAAAAGTCCAGTTCTATTGGTCCACCGTTTCCGATCTAATCCTGATTGGCTGTGTTCGGCCCTGACTTCTGGTCTTTAAGCAGAGGATTCGAGCGAAATTTCCGTACTATAAGAATTTATTATGAGTAATCCTTTTTTTTAAGGCGACAAAAATTCTAGTACGATTGTTTGGGGTAAGGGGTTAGGGCCTGTGATCTTCGGGTATCTAAATTATATCGTATTACGTACATGTATACGTATAGTAGCGATATTATAAGATAAATTTCGTATCGTATTATCGTTATCACTTTGCTACAATAAATTTATAATTAAGTAATATTAGTAACCTGAATTATATAAACTTACTACTATATGAATAATGTTGATATATTGTTGTCACGCGATAGGCGATCAATCGTTGTTGAGCGAAACTTCATAGATAAAAATTTAAATTTCAAAAATTATATATACTTTATATATTGTTATACCATGTCTTCTTTAAACTTAAAAAAATATATATTTCTACACTGCTTCATTCTTATCCTTATTTTTTATTCTTGAATTCTTATTCTCCTCAATCTTATATGATGTAACTTTCTACTTATCAAAAAAATCATTTGGATCAATTTTATGATTATTCTTTTAAATCATTCTCATTGGAAAAAATCATTTTAGCATTCTCATTGAAAAAAAATCATTTTAGATTTCAAGCACATCACAAAAAATTTTTTTAAACAATATTGCACAATTTTTGGTAAAAAATATAATTTATTCAAAATCTTGGTTTATTAATAATCAAGAAAAAAATTTCCAATTTCTTTAAAATTATTTTTACAAACTTATTTTAATTTTAAATTAATTACTATTGCTTATATATTTATAAAAATATATTATTTAAATTACTTGGATCTAGATCTATTAAATTTTCTAAATTATCTAATCTATATTATGTGTTATATTTAAAATCTTTATTAATTAACTATTAATAAGAATATCAAAGAAATAATTATAAATAAATAAATAAAAATAGAAATAAAAAAAATATTATGATTAAAAACAATTATCTAATAATATTAAAAACTATTTTTATTATCATATATACATATTAATATTCAAAACTTTTATTTTTTTTATTTTTAATCTTATTATTATTTTTTTTTTTTAATCCGCAATCATACTACAATGATGTGTCCTTATTGAGATATTGAGAAATATCTAAATATTTTACAGACTTTCACAAAGCGACTAACTTGTCATTGTATATTATTAGTTAAAGGATTACATTACTTAAAAAATATGAGGAGTCCACTAAGTTAGTTCAGACTAAACAAAACTAAGTCTAAACTAGATACTCTAAATCAAATTTAAGGGACAATATTTTACTCTCCTAGTAACTTGGCAATAGTATCTTTAAGTCAACTAGGGTCATTATCAACAGTTTGTTATTGTAGATTATCTTAAAAAAGGATAAATTACTAAAGTTGACACTGGGAAAAGAGAAAGGGAAAATAAAATTCAAAGCTCTCCAAAAGATTCTTGCTCCATTTTACAGTTTTCTCTTGAAAAGAGTTTGTCTGATTGAAATATTCTCTAAGCTTTATAACATTTGAAAAACTTAACCATTCCTGAAAGTGATTCTAAGAAGAACATTTAAGGAACTTATCTTTCTGTTGATATATGGATTTGCTTATTGTTAGTAAGGCCAGCATCATATTACAGAAGAATTTGTTTAACCAGAATAAAGAAATCTTTTCAAGAACTTTGCCTGATCAGGATAAAAGCTTGGAAACCTTAGCTTTTGTCCAAGAAAACTTTTTCATCACTTGAGGAATTTAATAAGAGATGGAAGTTGGATCTTTTATTTCTACCTGTCACTTGCTTTTTGGTATTATAATTATTTCCTAGATGTTAAACATACATAATTGGAGGGAACACTTTTTCTGAAACTTTTTTTCTTATATTATCAATAATATATCGAGACATGTGAGTGAATCAATAGGAGCTTGTTTACATTTCAAAAACTGATGCGTTTCATGTCAACCAATCACATTTGGTGAGGATTTGTGCTATCCAAAATTCAGGATCAAATTGAGGTAGACAAAATTCTTTAGAAAATTATAAACATAGGAGCTCTAAGAGGATCAAAACAGTCGAAAGAAAGAAAATAAGCCTTTTTACTGCAGAAAACCTCTATAAATCTTTCGCTTTAAAGGTTAAAAAGACCTTCAGGTACTTCACAATCAGTTTTTCTTCCTTTGGGAACTTTCTTGCCATTGGTATC